ATTAAAACCTCATCAAAGTAAACCCAAATGGGACAAACCTTTGATGAGGAAAAAGAGTAATAATATATATGGTCAAGGAGGTGTTAAGATGAAACAGGTCAAAACAGGTCAGAACAAAACAACTGAACATCCGCAACAAGAACCCCGAGCATCCAACAAACAGCATCACAGGAGCAGCAACTCAGCAGAAGATAGAAGTCAAAGAGAATCCCGCAGCAGAAGCAGATAGAAAAAACACAGCAAGCAGAACCAGGCCAGGCAGATACAGAGAAACCAACCACCAAAATCAACCAATTCTCCCAAACCAAATCTGCATTACCTTCTCATATTTCCTCCCATTCTTTTCTTTTAAAGAGGTAATTCTGTTTCTTATTAACTTATCCAGTCTAGAAATCAAACAAGCAGCAGGTTGGGAAGTTTCACCCACCCTTCTCCTATTTCTTTCATACCATAAAGTGTAGATAGCAGCTTGAAAACAGTAGCGAATTAAGAGAGTGAGAGTCTTATCCCTTAACCCATTAGCCACAACGAGAAGCATATCAGACCATCTGTTAGAACTTCTAGACCCTGCAATATTCATTACCATCCCACCCCAGACTTCTCTAGAATAAGAGCACTCGAAAAACAAATGGTCCCTGCTTTCAATAGCCATCTTGCAAAGCCAACAAGTAGCATTAGCTTGGGGATTCCATTGCAGAATTCTGTCCCCAGTAGCTAATCTATTCCGGATGGCTAACCAAGAAATGAAAGAGAATTTTGGCGTTGCTTCCTTGAACCAGATACCTTTGAACCAGTTAACTTTCGGCGTTTGTTGTCTAATAATGTTCCACGTTTGGGAAGTGTAGAACCCATCTTTGAAAACTCCAGTCTCACTCTTCCACAAACAAATATCCTTCTCAAGATTAAGGCCCCTGTTCCTAAGCCTCACGACCTCCTGATTTATCAAATGGAGAGTAGAAACTCTATGATTCTTTTCCCTATAAAGCTGAATAGCTCTCTCAACAGAACTATTAATAGGGATCCCAAGATCCATCGGCCCCCTCTCACCAGTCATATCAATAAGTCTACCCAAAGGCGACCATTGATCATACCAAAAAGACGAATTAGAACCATTATTAATCTCCATTCGATACAGTCTCATAGCCAAGGGTCTAAACTTTAAAAGCTTCTTCCACATCCAAGACCCTAAGGAACTCTTCTCACTAACACTCCAAAAGGATCCCTTCCTGATAAGGTACTTCCACACCCATTTCACCCATAAAGACGGTCTTCCAGAAATAATTCGCCAAATTAACTTCAAACAAGAAACTTTATTAGCTTCCAAAAGATTTTTCAAACCAAGCCCTCCCTCATCTTTAGGTTTACAAACATCGGCCCAGGAAACTTTTGCTCTTTGCGTAGAGAGAACAGGTCCGGACCAAAGGAAAGCCGAACATAAACTATTAATTTCTTGAATGCACTTACTTGGGAGTCTGTAAGCCGACATCCAAAAATTAACAATACTATAAATGACTGAGCCAAGAAGCTGTAACCTTCCAGCGAAAGTTAGATGCCTCACAGTCCAAGAAGAAATCCTGCTTTTGATTCTCGAAACAAGAGGACTATAATCATGAGTATTCATTCTCTTAGTTAAGAGAGGAAGACCAAGGTACCTCACCGGTAAAGAGCCTGACTCAAACGGAAATTGTTCAAGAATATTTTTACACTTCTCAGCTTCAACTCCTGCTAAGTAAATTGTCGACTTTTCAAGACTGATGTTAAGACCAGACATTCTTGCAAAGTCCCGAAAAACAGCCAGAATACCTTCAATAGAAGTTTTATCCCCATCCGAGAAAACCAAAACATCATCCGCAAAACAAATATGAGTCAAGCTCATCTCCTTGCAATGAGGATGATAGCCTATTCTCTTCTCAATAGCAGCTTTATCCAGAAGTTTGGAGAGCACTTGCATGCAAATCACGAACAGGAACGGAGAAAGAGAGCAGCTTTATCCCTTGAGTTTATCCATAACGTGTTATTTACTTCCAATTTTTTAAAGTTAATTCTTACATGAAACTGTTTTGATATGGTCTAATGGCTGATTCGGCCAACTCCGATATGATCACATTTAATATTACAGAGTGAAACATTTTTTCTAAGTACCACCACTATGTCTAATCCACATTTAGAATGTTTTCCCCTGATATAAGAAGATAATTGGATCGCATGTTACCAAATTAATTGTTAAATTGTCAAAGTGAAAGTCGAAATTCAGACTTTTTCACATAGGTTTGATTTTTTTTAAAAGAGGTTTGGATGCGCAAAGAAGTTTTTAGCATATTTTCACATGGAATTTCTTAGAAAAGTACATATTTAAATGATCTAAAACAAATGACGGAGTTATGTAAATTTTTTATGAAAGATGGTCTCTACAAATGGGGCAACTGATTTGCCTAAGGAACCACTCATCTATGCATTTCATATGAAATGTGTGGCCACATCTCTCTAGCTTTCTTCCCGCTTGTCCTTCTTCCCAATCCTACGCACCAATCAATTAATGTAAGTACGTCTGATAATGAAATTATAATTACATTTAATAAAGTACGGCCATATTTGTAAATGATTTTGGTTACAAATTCATTACCTGTAAGCAAATCGAACAACTCGAAGTTGTTTGATGATCACTTGAACAACTGAAGTAAAAAGTGGGGATGTTCTTGATAGAATTCACCGACAACCCTTTCGGTTCTTGGTCATAGTGGTACATGTCTGATATCTCCAAATAACTTGTGTCCATTCCCATTATCTGCAAAAGTTGTTTGTTGATCTTTTAATCTTCTTTTAAAAAAAAATGAACTAATACAAACTATTATATATATATGTGTATATATATATTGTTCAAACTATTATATTGCACATGTTCAAGTTTCACAGCCAATATTAAAAATAAAATGTTTATTAAAACGAAATGAAAAATTTTAGAAGAAAAGATGAAGAACTTACTTGCCATTGATATGCTTTGAGAACAGCTGGTCTAACCAATCCCATGATGGCTTTCCCATTCATTATTCTCCTCATTAAGGCATTAACCTGCTCTTATTATTGTCACACCAAACTAGTGTTACCAAAGCATATGATTGATTAGCTTTTCTAAATGGTTGTGTATAGAATGACAATAACCTTGGGCAAAGGCTGATCACCATGTAGCATCAGTCCAAAGAGTTGGACTGCGGTGATAACTCCAGCTACAACTCCTAGCACACCCCCTCGAATAAACCCAATATCTGTGGTGTGACCTTCCATAGCTCCTACAATGGCGGCACCCACAACACTAGCTGCATCAAAAATAGTGGCAGTTAGTGATCTTATAAAATTCTTATACATAAGAATGTGGATAAAATCACACCATGTGATATGTTAAACAATACACAACTAAAAAGAAAGTGTCTTTTGTACAAAAAAAAAGTGTAAAAAGGTTTAGCCAAAAAAGTGTAAATTAAGATGTAGGGAAATCTATAGATGAGATAACTTATTGAATTCAATTAAGGTAGGCATGAATACATAGTGGGTGTGGCCATATCGCACAAAATTTGGACCCCACCATTTTATTATGCACACTACGAATTAATAACCATATTGTACATTCTTGTGTTTGTTCGTTTTTCTGTCAGCTGAAATCTTTTTAAATCAAATTTCAAATAGGTTGTCTTGTCTGCCTCGACAACAAGTCATCTAGGTGAAAATTTAAAGCGAACGAAATTAAAACAAAAATCCCAACTTCAGATAGTTTCTGGAAAGAAAAAAATTGCTTCACCATTGAACGCTCTAGAAATCTTGAGAAGGTGAAGATCCATGAACCTTCTCTTGAATTTCTAATGCTTCTATCACACAAGTAATGTAAATATATAATTTTGCAAGTAATCTTATAATGCGTGTACCTAATGAAATGATTTTTCACGTTTTATTTTTACAAGTACGTAATTAAAGGGCATATATGTAGAATAACAAAAATTGAACAAACCATTGAAATGATAAGCTGACAGAAAAGAAAGGATATATCAAACTAAGATCACTTGAAATTTTACCAGAAGCGAGAGTGAAGATGCATAAGCCCAAGAAAACTCTTTTTATCAATATAATCAACATGATGCAAACTGCGCCAAGAATCCAAAAAGGAACGTGGTATGTGAATTTTAGAAGAATCATCTGATTCTGAGCAATGCACATGAAGAACTAACTTATTTATTTTTATTTTATATTATGTGAACTAGTTTATGGTTTGAGAGTGGAATGGATAGTGCGAAGAGCAATTTATAGAGATAAAATAAGAGAGGAAGGAGAAGGATTTGCATTTAAGAAGCTGACCTACCCATACTCTTTATTTTGGGGTCGAAACTGACCTACCCATACTCATAATCTACATTGCATAGAGCGTATCTATTGGTGCATGCATGAATTCGCCCACAGAGTCTTAAAGTTTAAATATGAGAATTAAATGAAGAATTTAATGCAGCTTTTGAAAAATGAATGGGAAGTAATGGTACAAGCTTGGCAAGAGTCCAGTTTAGATCCTAACAGATGTGAAAATGAGTTGTTGTTTTTAATTTGCCATATCAGATCAATGGTACTCCTATTTTACAAAACCTTTCAGTGTTAAATTCTTACAGTGCTGTTGCCGTAAAAGAAAAGAGAAAAGTTTTTAACCAATGGATTCTGAGACTTGCTTAATTGTTTTGTATAGAACATCCATGGCTTAGAGAAGGCCGAGAAGCATCGGACAAGCCAATTGACAGTGCTGTACTCTCAAGGATGAAACAGTTCAAAGCAGTGAATAAGCTAAAGAAACTTGCTTTAAAGGTGAAGGACTTCCAAGACTTTCTTTTTTATAAATAAACTAGTTTTATTTTATTTCATAAACCAAAACTGATTACAAACGCTACAAACTCCTAACTTTACCTAAAAACTTCAAAAATGATATATCCATAGACTTATCAAATGCCCTAAATAAAACTTAACTAAAAACCCAAAAGAGTATAGGAGGAGCTGCTTGCGAGCCTCATGTTTCAAGACAAGGAGTCTAACCGCAGTTGCACAGTCTACTTGATATCTTGAATAATGGGTTGAGTAGGTCTGCACAAGCTTGTGTGCAAATGAGCGTTTCCCTCTTTCTATATCATATAAACAACAACTTAACAAACCAGCTTAATGACAAGGAGAGTATTAGGGTCTGTAGTAGGGGATTTTAGCCATCACAATCTTTAAATAAGATAGGAGGCATCAGGTGGAGGCGTGAGCAAAAGAATGTCCATACCTCTGAGCTATAGATGCAGCTAAACAACAAATGTTGCCTAGACTTATCACATTCTGAACATAAGAGACAGCTCAGAGTTACATCAACACCCAAACCTCGCATTCTATCACGAATTGATAATCTATTTCATGCAATGAGCCAAGAGATAAAAGCATGTTTAGGAATTATATCTTTAAACCACACTTGAGAGTGCCAGTAAACCGGAGGATTTGGAGAGTGGAGAGTGAGCCACATCTTAGCCCTGGAGAAGACAATTGAAGGGGAATCATTTCTCATTCTCCATAGGTATGTATGTATCATCGCTAGATGACTGCACAGTAGGAACATGCGATGGAAGGCATTGCTTTAACAAGGTGGTTATGGCATTTCAACTAAGAGAAGCACTTAACCACCACTCCCCATTAACTAAAGCTCCGGCCACTGTCGCATCCTTGTGCAGACCCAAGACTGTCGGTCCTCTCTCACCAGTCAGATGAATCAAAGGTCCAAGATCTGCCCATTTATCATACTAAAAACTAGTTTTTATGCATGCTCCAACTTCAGAGAAGACAAACGGTGTAGCTACCGTTCTCATCTCGCATAATCACTTACATATCCTAATGTCTCCTCGATGAGGTTCCAGTTCCCAAAAATTGTCGGATCCGATCTTGTTTCTTCTCATCCACGAGACCCACAAAGAACCTCCAGCTGCAAATAGGAGCCAAATTAGCTTAAGACCAAAATCTGATTCCAATCTTCCAACTCCGCAAACCTAAAGCACCTTATTTCTTAGGAATGCATACAATGGTGCAGCTTATCTTTGGACCTTTTGAAGACTGAGGAGCGCCATGCCAGAGACAAAGGTTATACATTCTCTCGAGAATCCCAATACATTCATTCAGACTCATTCGGACGAATGAAGATCGAGGTCCAGAAAGTAATTATAGAGTATATGACAGCTTGAATAAGTTGGAATCTATCTGCAAAGGACAAGTTCTTTACCGTTCAAGAGCTGAATCTTGCATCGATCTTATCAAGCAAAGGTCTGAAGTCTAACTTCCTCATTTTCTTAGAAGAAAGAGGAACACAAGATACCTAACCGGAAGTGAAACTTGTTTAATCCCAAAAGACTTTGGAATATTAATTGTGTTTGCTCTTGCCCCTTTCGTTTGTGCTAAAGATTAAGAGTCTAAATAGGTCATTGCGGAGAGTATTGACACGGAAGAGATCCAATGATTGAAGGCAATGTTTTCTAACAAACATCGATTCTCTTTGCTTCTACCCATCACATGATGTCTACTTCTCTATAGTTGAGTAGCTGGAGCATACCTGAATATAAAATAAAATTTTCACGGTTTCTCTTACACATCTAACATGCTGATAACATAGAACATCCAATCTTGAGCAGAAAAATAATATCCAAACTGCATTTACTTGTTCTAAACTTTACTAGAAATTGGAAAAGAGATGAATTTCAGTCCACGTGTTTGTATCAGTGTTGATATCACTCAAATTATCATAAGGAGTGAATTACTCTCTCAAATAAGAGGTTCAGTGTAGTAATTAGGGATTGAATCCACATAGACTCAAGGATTACACAATAGATTATAGTGTTTAAAATGAAGTTAGACTGGTAATTTGTTTAAATGATTTAAAACAGTAAATAAAATGAGGTGAACAAATGATTGTTCAGTAGCTTGATTTGAAGTTGTTTTTAGTTGGGGAATTTAGTTAGACTTAGGTATTATCTCAGGTATTAGAAGTATGCAATTGATTTCTGACCTTAAGGCTTAAGGGTTTTAATTGTTTATGAACTCAAACTTAAATAGTGAAACCAGAAAAGTTTCCTTTGTCTAGATTTCGAATCTCAACAATCGTATTTTGATCTCGAGAAAATGTCGATCGATGCGTCTTTGCGAGCATCGATCGATACACCTTTCAAACAGTCGATTGATATGACAATGGTCGCATCGATTGACAGCTCTTCTAGAAAGGTTTGCGAAGAGGTTAATATTATTCTTTAACTCTCTATACCAACTCTCGTGCGAATCTAGTTAGTTAGGTCAAACTAGTCGGGATCAGATATTGAGGAAACTAATGTTTAGCTCAATCAATCCTAAGATCTAGATTTAAGGGTGATCAATTCTAAATTTAGTATTAAGCATAACTAGTTTGAGAAACCTAAATCTAACAAATGAGATTACGCAGACATATTCATAAGAGACAAGGTTATGATGGTATGAATGAAACTCATAAGTAAACAAGAAACAAAGTAGAATAAAAGTAAAGAAACAAAAGGAGTTCAAGATCTTCTCTGTTTTGTAGTCTCAAATCTATCTCTCCAAATCCTAAACTCTCTTCCTTCAATGGTGAAACAAGTTTCTCTTCTCCAAACTAGGTATAGAAGGTCTCTAGACAAGTCTGCCTCAACAATGATACAAAACCCTAGTATTATAGCCTACAAGCAGCCAAGGACTTAAGTTGCAATTAATGGAACATTTGTGAAACTTGAAGTCTTCTAATTTGTAATTAAGTCTAGGATGGCTTTGGCGTCGATCGATGGCAACATAGTCGTGTCAATCGATTATAATTGGTGGCCGGCGATTCTCTTCAAGCATTGATGGATTCTTCATCTTGGCAGAAGCTTTCTTCAAAGTGTCCAAAATGTCTCAATCTTTTTCACCTTTTTAAAAACATTTTCATTCTATAAAATGTTTTTGTGTTTTTTAGATTTAATTAAAACTTTTTTCAGTTGTTAGAAAAATGTTTCAATTACCAAAAGTTTATAAAAATTAAAAAAATACATTTTCTCTATGTTTTAAAATATTTTCATTTTATAAACCGTTTTATGTTTTGAAAAATTTATAAAAACATTTATTATAACAGATTTTTTAAAAATGATACTACAAAATGTTTTTCTAATTTTAATTATATATATAAAAGAATTAAAAATATTTATTATATATGATTGTTAAAAATAATTATATTACAAAAACGTTTTTATAATTTTAAAATTATATATATAAGGAATTAAATTTTTTAAATAAAATCGGTTTTATTTCTTTTTAAATTAATTTATAAAATCCATCGGAATTTCGTCGAAAATAATTCTTTGGATTTTCGTCGAAAATTAATTCAATCAGAATTTCGTCGAAAAATTATCCGTCGGAATTTCGTCAGAAATTTGTTCGTCAGAAATATGTCTGTCGATACTGGTTAGAATTTCGTTGGAATTTGTGACGAAGTCCGACAAACTTTTTTTTTGAACGAGTAATTTCTGACGACTCATTTCATCGGAATTTCGTTGAAATTACCTTATTCCGACGAAATTGGTCGTCGAATTTCGCGTGTTTTCTTGTAGTGTAATGGTTACATATTCAGAATATAAATTCCAGCACTATATGAGAAAATCTGCTTAATGTGTTGCATGTGTCAGGTCCTCTCCTCTGCTCCAGCAGAACTCGTTACTGAATTTAGCTTGGCGGTAAGTATTCTGATCCGTAAACTCTATTATGTACTTGCTTCACAAGATATTTTCAATATGGGCAAAAAACATTGAACGTGTTTACGCTGTAGACTATGTTAGCTTTACCAACAAGAACCAATACAAGACCAAATCTCAAGAAACACGAGCCAAGCACTCTTATCTCTTAATCTTTGATATAACCTAAAGCCAAAGAGGGAGAGGGCATAAATATGTGTCTTGTTGCATTTCTATGTCATTGTTGTAACTAGAACTCAAAGAATTCATTTGCTTCTATTTATTGATAGAGAAGAAAGGATAGACATAGACATATAAACCCGAGACCAAGATTTTCATCTGTACTGACACAACTGACGTAATCTTGTCCATATATTGTCTCGTCAAAAGATAGATATAGCAATTGTTTCTGTAAAAGGATGAAACTGGGCTCAAATAATTTGAACTTAAAAAAGA